AAAACAAACAAAAACAAAACAAACAAACAAACCAAACAAAACAAAACAAAAAAGAACCAAAACTCTAGATTATTTTAAATGTATCAGTTTCTCTTAAAAACTTAATAATCTCACAATAAATATTGCCTGATGTTTTCCCCAACAGCCACGACATCGACAAGTCACTGAATCCTGCCCTCTTCAGTGTCTGGAAAAACACACCTCTCTGAACACTATATTTCCCACAAATCATTAAAACATGTTCCACAGTTTCTGGCTGGCTACAGTGTATACACTTTCCGGTTGGATGCTTTCCTATTCTACTCAATGTATGATTGAGACCTGTATGACCTATTCTCATCCGAGAAATGACATTTTCCTCCCTTCTTTTAAACCCCACCTTCCTTCCATCCCCCACATACCTTTGAATTTTATAAAGATGTCTTCCTGTATCACTAAGGTCCCAATGTTCTTGCCATGTTGTTTGTGCATATTTATGTATGAATGTTTTAACCTCCGCTTTGCTAAGTGGAACTTCTATGTCTATGTTCATAATTCTGAGTGTTTGTTTGGCCAGAATATCCACCTGTTCATTACCCTCCACACCAACATGAGCAGGAACCCAGATGAAACTAGTTGCTATGCCTTTGATTTGCATTTTATATAAAATTAGAAATATTTCATTTATTATGTCCATTCTAAATGAAGATCTGCCTGATCGTATACTCGATAATGCTGAAAAACTGTCCGATGCAATTACACTATTATGTATTTCTTTCCCCTCTATCCATTTCAATGCCAACACCAATGCCCACAACTCTGTCGTGTATACTGACACATGGTCTGTTACCCTTTTCTTTATATGTGTATTACTCACTGGGATATAAACTGCTGCCCCTGCACGCCCTGTCTCTGGATCTTTGGAGCCATCTGTAAATATGATTGTTGAGTCTGAGTAATTACTTGCAAAATAATTATGGGACCTTATTCCGGAAAAGTTATGCATTGAAGTCAATGGGGAGAGAAAACTTATCTTTCGATCCCGTTTGAATTGTGCCATGAATTACACATATGATGTTTGTCAATCTTAAAAAATCATTTCCATGTCAAAAAAGTCACAGTTTGTCGTAAAACTGTTGAAATATAAGACTATGAAAGATACGTAACTAGAAAGACTACAAATCCCAGAGTCGCGTAAGTGATGTCACAATTGTTTACCTCCACCATTCAGATACCTAAGATCAGCGCAATATAGATATAATCTATCTATATGGCGCTGGCTAAGATAAGATAACTTTAACAAGATGCCTGTGTGCTTAGTACCAGGTTGTTATTATACCAGCAATGGGTCTTGCTCGTTCTTTTGCTTCCCGTCTGATGAAACGACCAGGAGTGGCTTGATCAAGTTAGCTACCTAGCTAGTAGCTAGCACGTTAGTTAGCATTACAGCCTTGTCATTTTTATTAGCCTTAACATGAAGTAACATTAAGTAACCCAAAATGTTAAACAGTAAGAGTAGTAGTCATATTTCGTGAACCCTTTGAATAGTACTGTCACCGGTGTGATCATTCTATAATACACCATTTAATTCCGGGGGAGAAATGCTAACGCTAACGTTAGCATCGGCGATCTTTTCTACTTCATGCTATCTGCACAAATGGTTGACATTAAACATTAAAACGACCAGGCAGTTCAGAGAGAATCAAAGGAAGGCAGGCTTTGCATGACATTCTTCAGGACGTGTTTCATTGTGGTGATAGTCAATCGTTTGTTGACAAGACAGTAGTGACGGCCATCTTGGTGACGTGTGTGGTTGACCAGAGATGTAGTTCATTGAGCCTTTCACACAAACAAATGTGTTACTTCACAGTTTTACGACACATTTTAATTTTTTTGACTTGCAAAATTATCTTTTAAATTGACAAACATCATATGTGTAATTCGTGGCACAATTCAAACGGGATCGAAAGATAATCTTTCTCTCTCCATTGACTTCAATGCATAACTTTTCCGAAATAAGGTCCCATGGGGCTCAACCGGAAGGGGAGGGACTTCGCCACTCTATTGGAGTGAACGGAGATGTCGTAACTCTTCTATTATACGGCTCTGGGTTAGCCCTACCATAGATTACCCAACAAAAATACTCTGGAGCCGCCACTGGTTGTGGTGCTGTTGCTTTGGTCTGGATCTGTGAGCTAACCACGCCCCGTTCATTTGAATATAAGAAATGCAAATAAATAAATGTGGCATTATGAAATAAAAGTCTCTTGAAATAAATAAATGTGGCATTATGAAATAAAAGTCCCCTGAAATAAATAAATGTGGCATTATGAAATAAAAGTCCCTTGAAATAAATAAATGTGTATTTAAATGTACATTTATATATATATTTATTGCCTCATTTATTTATTTCAGAATTTATTTCACAACCATATTTATTTATTTCATAGGCATATGTATTTATATATGTATTTATTTAAAGGTGGGGTAGGTCATTTTGGAGAAACCAGCTCGAGTGCGCTAGAATTTGAAAATACACAACCGGAAAAAATCTGCCACTTCCTTACAGAGCCCCTCCTCACACGAACGCGCACATGACCAATGAGGGCACGAGATAAGTTTGTGCACAGGTGGAAGGCTGACAGGCAGGTAGGCCATCCAGTTATTTTAGCCGGGCCGGCTAAAATGATTGGTCGTACTTTTTACAGTACTACGGCTTCCACAGATGACATTTTTTTATGGATTTTTTGTCAAAGCACATAAGATATTCATTGCTATCGGGATGTTAAGAGCATTCCATGGAATATAACAAAAAGTGTATCTCGAGCCGGTTTCTCAAACTTACCTACCCCACCTTTAAGTATTTATGTAAGTATTTATGTATTTATTTATTTTTGGCTTGAATGGCATTCCATAGATAAGCGGTTCAAAAACACAAAATTAGATTTACCAAATAAGTCAGCCATATGTTTGATTTGTATTCACTATTCAATATTCCTCAATAATACAAGAAACTTCACAATTTATGGGTAACAGGCTTTTATTTTGAAACGTTAACCCCAGAAGAGATTATGTTTGGTCTAAGTGGAGCTGGGAGAAGTTCCACTAAAAGGGCTTTATTTAGTAGAATTATTATTTATTTTTTAAACGTTTCCTTTAATTTGATAATTTAAATAAATTGTCTTTCAGTCTTGACACACTCCGGTACAGTAGGTGGCAGCATGCACCTTTACACGTTGGGTTGTAGACCGCCATTAAACCAAAAGAAGAAGAAGAAGGAGATTCTCTTGAATATGATTGGCTGTGTTTACACTAGTGCTGATGTGGTCTTCTGTTAGCAGAGCTGTCGACACATTCAGAAACAATATTACTGTTTTATTATAATTATAAAAAATAGCCACTGTACTTTGTTGATAATGCCTTATTATCAGACCTGGGAGGAGTTTTCCCGCGCAGCAGAGAAGCTGTATCTGACAGACCCCATGAAGGTGAAACACTTTACATGTGAAGTAGCTTAGCATGCTAAGGACCGAGTGTTAGTTGGATAGCTCGGTGGCTAGTGAATGTGCCCAGCAGCCAAAGCTGTGTCATGTTTAGATGTTCAAGTGGTTCTGATCTTTGACTTTAACGTGTCCAGGTTCGGGTGGTTCTAAAGTACAGACACTGCGACGGAAACCTGTGTATCAAAGTGACCGACAACGCTGTGGTGAGTGAGGCCATGAGTGGTCTACAATAACTCATGCTAAATGTATTATTTTTACATTTCTGTTAAAAAGCTTGGACTGATGGGCCTTGAGGAAGTCGAGGAAGATTAAGTAGTCCTCAATTTCCAGGCAGCATGAAGGCACGGGCAGGAGAGCACATTTTAGAATATTTTTTCTGATATTGCGACTTTAATTATTATATAAGATATTGCGACCATAATTATGTCACCTCAATTGAATATTGTCTCTCATGTTGTCTTCTGTCCATTCCAACAGTGTTTACAGTACAAGACAGACCAGGCCCAGGACGTAAAGAAGATTGAGAAACTCCACGGAAAACTGATGAGACTCATGGTGTCCAAGGAGACGCACAGCGGTTCCATGGACACAGATTGAAGAACTGTTGCAGCACTGGACTGAGCCTGCTGGACACAAAGTGCACAGTGTGGAGTCTGAGAGACGGGATGTGGCTGCCTATGCTGATTTAATATATCAGAGATGTGATATCAATACTGTCCATTTTTGATTCTCTCAGGATTTTTATTTTTTGTTATACATTTTCCATTTAAAATCTTATTATCATGGTTTTTTCAGGCATTGTGATCCCGCCCCTAATAGTGTTACTATAAAGTAAGCTCAGTGTAAGCTGCTGGGACATTTTAGAAAATGCAGAGGTGGAAGTTGAGAACGGTTGTGGTAATGTAGGACCAAATGTCCAAATCCTCTGCTGCAGTGTAGCTTTGGCACCTTGATTTCTTTAGAGCCTGCATTTCCATTTTAAAGCAGGTGAAAATGAGCGTGATTAAGACACTGCATGTCTCTTCTATTTTCTTCATCCAGGATATGTAGCTGTAGGTTGGATTTCAGCACATTGATCTTTTAGTTTTTCTTCATGGACATTAATGAAGCAGGACCATTTGATTTTCTAACCAGTGTGGAGAAAGCCCCCACACCTCTGATTGCCAATTTATTCTTCTGAAAATCAATGTTACATTTTCAATAAATGTTTGTTTACCCCAGCACAGCCAGTATCTCTGATATATTTGTCTTGTGTTGGTATTGTTTGCAACGTGTTTAAAAACCTTAATTGTCTGCAATGGGGGGGTACTGTAAAAGAGTTAACCAAACCGGCAGGAAGTGTTTCTTTTAAACAGGATTTTCTCAGTGGGGAATGTTGTGTCTAAATAATGTTAGCCTTTTACAGGTTGTGGGGAGGCCCAATCCCTACAGCACCTGTGGACGCTAAACTGTTCTTAATCGGCATAATACTACATATCCCATCATGCACCTCTCGCATTTCCACACGCCCCTCACACAGTCCACTCAACCCTCCATATTTTTCGCTTCATACGCCATGAATTACAGCCCACCAGAACCATAGTGCACGCATCCTGAAGCACCCCCCGCTGTCAGAGAGTGAGGAGAGCAGCGTCGAGCAGGTAAACTCCTTCTGTGTCATCTATAATGTTCTATCTGCAGCACTTAGTGGACAGCATACAGTAGCAGGTCCCGCTTTAAGTGACTCCAAACGCTTCACTGCAAAAACAGTGCGGGGGCAAACGTGGACTTTCCTTCTTGAGGATTTATTACATTCGTAAACTTGTAGATCTATGCCGGAAAATAATGACTTTATCCAGCAGCATCTGAAGTACACATGGTAATGTAATTGTGTCTGCAGTAACACGGTATGATACGGCTCGTTAGAGTCCATTCATAGTGGTCTTTATTCGGTGTCCTGGATGTACATGGAGAGTTAAACAGTGCAGACTTTGAGCTCTCTGATCCGATCAGCTGCACCACAGGACACCTTTGTTTGGCTGCTTTTTCTACAAAGTTGTGAAATCAAAGTGCCCCCTGATTGATTGATTGATTGATACATTTGATTTTGAGTAAAGTAAAATAAACAATTACAAAAAACAAAGAAATGTTGCTGTGCATAGTCATGTAAAACAAAACAAAACAAAGTGACATTTACAACAACAGCATTAGCAACATAAACAGTCTAGTGTTGGAAAAGGAGTGAGAAGAAGTATAACTTATTTAATCTCACCCCCTTGTCCCTAAATTATTTATTTATAATCTATAAATAATTATAAATAATAATAATTATTATTAATTATTATTATTATGAATCTGCTTTACTTGTTGATTGACATATATACATATACACATATATATATATATGCACATATACATACACACCAGTGGCGGCCGGTCCATAGGGGCGCTAGGGGCGCCGCCCCACCTCTTCCCATATTGAAAAAAAATAAAAATAATAATAATTAAAATTAAAATAAAAAAAAAAAAATATGTTTAAAAAAAAATATATGTTTTTATTTTTATTTTTAATGAACAAGGTAAATATTATATAATTGGTATCAGTAAAATGTATAATCTACAATAAAATCTCGTTTAAAATTGTGTTACGATGTCTAAAGTTACTGATAAGTCACATGTTTCCTGCCTGGCCTTGCCCATGCACCTTCTCTCGTCTGGGCGCTAAGAGAGGAGCCTTCAACCAGTGCAGCATCAGCCACTAGCAGCTGACTGTTGCTATCTGTAACGTGTAAACTATGCCGCGAAAATATAATTTCAGCCAATCAGCGTCGTCAAAGATGACGGTCACCAGGCGCCAATGTCAGCGCCCAGTGCAGTCTGTGAGTAGTTTGGACAGTGACTCGTATCCGGTTGACGCAGTAGTTGATGAGGATGGCTTCGTGTGCAGGTGGAGTCTCCGGACCTCGGTCCCCGGCTAATTCTGTTCAAGAGCTAATCTCCAATCCTTTCGAAAGGAGAAGTTTGGCAGATAAATTGTTGCTTAAAGACCTTGCACCGGACCAACCCGATTTGAATATATCGCAGCAATCTCGTGAAAAAGACAACATTTATACACGAGGCTTCACAAGTAGCTGGTACACAAGAAAGGCTTGGCTAGCTGGATGCAAACAGGTAAATGCTGTCTTTTGTTTCCCATGCTTGGATATCACTTTATATGTAGAGAGGAGGTTTCCCATGGTTGTTAGAAGTTTATTAATAAGTGGGCATTTATCACAGAAGTGATTGTTCTGTCTCCACGTTTGTTGCATTGTCTGTGATGTATTTTCCAACGGTTATAGCTCCTGTTCTGTCCCAGCAACACTACACGGTTTGCAGCTCCACCACATTTTTGGTTTATCTTCGGTGTCGCTTAAAATCTGCTTCCCATCGGACTAAAACCTCCACGTAATCTGAAGACAGATACTTGAAGTTATTTAAACCTTTTGCAAACTTTATGTTCTTTCTTGCTCTAGCCTTGCCAGTTACATTGTACATAACACATATATTATCATTATGCTAACTGGTTGTTCGTGTTAGACGATGTAGCTTTTTCATTTCTGAGTTATTGCTATATGTAAATAAGCCTGTTTGTAAATAATCCTCAGAGAAACAAAGAAAAAACACAATTTATGACATTTTGTGCTGTGGTTATTTTTTTTAAATTGCATTTATTCACAGTTCAGTTTGAAATGCTGTAGTGACTTGTATTGAACCACTTAAATATTTATAATTAATGCTACTGAAAAGATGCTATTAATTTTATATCTCACATGCAGTTCACTGTAAAGCTACTTGGTGAAGGTGTTGGTTCATAAAACATGAACAGTTTTAAGAAAGAAAAAAACAGACCAGTTCTGAGAACACAAATTCCTGGTAAAGTAGTAGATGTTGAGGTTGATAAATAATATTTTCCACACTGAAGATTATGGAGGTATTGATCAGTCTTCTCATATTTTTAAGCCTCGATTTCTCCTTTCCCCCCCCCTCTAACATCACCAGAAGTCATCATTTAAGGGGTCATTTCTCGAAAACAATTTCCGGGGGGAAACCCCCCGGACCCCCCGGGTAGGTCACTTACGGTACGTCAAGAGCCCCACCAAAAAAAAAGACCACCGGCCGCCACTGATACACACACATACATATATGTGTGTGAATGTGTATGTGTATATGTATATGTGTACTGTATATATACAGTACACATATACACATATACATATATACACATACATATACATAGACATACAGTCAAACACCCTCCCCATCCCTGTACCTCGAGAAAATAATTTCTCTGTATTTCCTCTTGAACTGGTTTATGTCTGGACATCGCTTTAGCTCCACATTCACACTGTTCCATAGTCTCACTCCACAGGCTGAGATACAAAATGTTCTTCTGGTTGTACGGACCCTATGAATTTCGAATTGAAATGGTCTCCTTGAACTATATCCCCCCACTCGTTAAAGGTGGGGTAGGTAATTTTGGAGAAACCAGCTCGAGTGCGCTAGAATTTGAAAATACACAGCCGGAAAAAATCTGCCACTTCCTTACGCCTATAATATATTGATGAAAAACAGTATAATAGGGGGACCTAACAAAAGATCTTGCCAGAAGATTTCCATTTTTCCTTAGATGTCCATAGAACGTTTTTATGTTAAAGGTGGGGTAGGTAATTTTGGAGAAACCGGCTCGAGATCGCTAGAATTTGAAAATACACAGCCGGAAGAAATCTGCCACTTCCTTACAGAGCCCCTCCTCCAACACACACTAACGCGCACATGACCAATGAGGGCACGAGATAAGTTTGTGCACAGATGGAAGGCTGACAGGCAGGTAGGCCATCCAGTTATTTTAGCCGGGCCGGCTAAAATGATTGGTCATACTTTTTACAGTACTACGGCTTCCACAGATGAAATTTTTTTATGGATTTTTTGTCAAAGCACTTAAGATATTCATTGCTATCGGGATGTTAAGAGCATTCCATGGAATATAACAAAAAGTGTATCTCGAGCCGTTTTCTCAAACTTACCTACCCTACCTTTAATGGTTAAAAAAAAAGTTTTGATAGGATAATTTCTCTAAATGTCCTTTGGTCAGTCCTTTTATCCTATGAGCAACATAATAAATAATTATTGAAGTGTAACAAGATGTGACATCTTGTCTTACTAAAACCAACTGAACAATGAATATATGGTTTGAATGCAGTTTGTGAGAAACTGTTTTAATGTAAATTGAAAGAGTCCATGAAATTACATTTCTTGGGATGACATCTTCTTATAGATGACACAATAAGTTGGAAATTATACATACAACATGTACAATCAAAGCTTTCAAGAAGCATTTCCATACTAAACAAAGTAAAACAAGTCCTAGATCAGAAATCACTTTGCATTCTCTACTGTTCACTAGTCTTACCATATCTGAATTACTGTGCTGAAATCTGGGGCAATAACTACAAAAGTTCAATACATTCAGTATCTATTTTACAAAAAAAAGCCATACGAATCATTCACAATGCCAAATATCTTGATCACACTAACGCATTATTCCTGCAGTCAAAATTGCTAAAATGTACAGACCTGGTAGAATTCCAAACGTTTTTTATGATGTCATAAAAAACGTTATGACATCATAAAGTGGCCAAAATCTGATCAGACAGGTTTTTATATAAATGGATCAGGACAAAAAGTGAGCGAATCTTTTTTCCTGAAACTTTCAGAATCTTTTTACACAGAGGGGACACATGTTTATGCATAAAAGACATGAATAGTGGATTGTGCACAATAGGTGACCTTTAACTCATAAACAAAGGAATGGAAACAATATCTCAAAAGGTATCAAGTTTAACTTGACTCTCTTCCTACATGAAAGTTTACTGTCATAGCAAACATAAATCAAACCGTTGAAATGTTATATTGTGTTTTGTTATATGCATGGTAAATATTTTTGCATCTTTTATTTGTTCTTTACATCATTGTGTTCACCCCCAGACACGGAGCACCATGTTCACAGAGCTGCTGGTTTGCCTGTTGATTGGAGGACTCATCTGCTTCCTGGTTCAGAGGAGCAGGAAGCAGGTCTTGAAGACCGAGGATGGCTGGTGGGGGCCCGGTGCACCCCCTGATGGGGGGGAGGACGTCACTATTTATCCCTTTAAAGTCAGCACCAGTGATAAAGAATTGGAGGTTAGATTCCCTTTTAGTTTATCACTCAAGCAGTGTTGGGAGGGTTACTTTGAAAAAGTATCCTGTTACAATGACTATTTACATGTTAAATGTAAATCAATAACCTAATCTCAGGCTGGTGCCCCACGAGGACGAAAACGGGTTGTATCCGCATACTTCTCTTGCGTATAGCCCTTTTTGCCACACGAGGCCGTAACTAAAAGATAGAAACGGACCCCGCAAACGACAACGGGTCCAAAGGTGGATAGATCTGGGAACGGAGCGCTCTGGGGGGTCCAACGGCTCCGTGTGGTAGCCTCTATACGATCATTTTCTGATAATGATGACGCAATAGGCCCGCCTCCCCCCACCTCTGCTGCTCACCCCCGCGTCAAAGTAAACTGCACACTGAATTCAGATTATTTATCTTTATCTCGATATGGACATAAACGTGAGTGAAGTCTAATCTGACAGGACGGAGACACGCAGCTCCTCCCGCTGTGATGCAGCCGGAGCAAAACACACACTTCAAGTCAGATCATCACCCTTAGCTATTTTAATTACCTCTCAAACAGGCTCTGTGTATTTTATTATTATATATCATTATATAGAGTCGTTATTCATTTGTTTTAAAGCTCAATAAATAACAAAGAAGACCTTTGACCGGCACTTTTATAATTTTGTCCGGAAGATTTTAACTTTAACACACGTTGACCGGCGAAAAACTCTGCCCGGTTCCCTCGACCCCCACCGCGGAGAATAAACAGAAGTGCAGCCATGACAACCATTCTTCTTCGCTGCTTTTGTGGAGGAAGTTACAGCGCCACGTACAGGCTCGGCATATGTACTGCAGCTTTTCCAGCGGTTTGAGCTAAACGGAGCTGTCTCTGTGAACAGACACTATCCGGTGTCTATTGCGTGTGGACGGAAGCTTTTTTTGCGATTGCGTTTGTGTATGCGTTTTCCCGTATGCGTCCTCGTGGGGCACCAGCCTAAGTATCACAACATACAAGTAATGTAACCTGATTACTTTTTGAATTACCTCAATATCAAATGCAATGCAAATAAATACAGTAAAAATAAATATCAAAAGAAGGCTTTTAATCAAGTGTATGAATGAAGACAACAGAACACCTAAGAACCTTAGGTCGCATTCACACCTAATAGTCGCTTCTTTGGTGCGCACCCGACGCAAGTTTGTTACATTGTTTCATTTTTCAGAAGGTTCGGTTTGCGTTCACACAGGCAAACCTCAAACGGACTATAAACTGTAGTCAAAAGTCATGTGCACGGAAATGCTGTTCAACAATTGGTCAAATCACACCAACCCAAACGAACCGCACCAAGGGGTTAAACGCTCCAGGAACATACACAGATAAAGTGAAAACCATAAAGCAGATTCAGGCAGCAGGCCTATAGATTCACACTTAAAGTATTAGCCTACAGAACAGTATAGCATACAAAGCAGAAATATGCACTTTTTCAGTTTACTAAAGTATATGGATTAGGCGATGACAGTATTTTAAACAAATCAAGTATCCACCTACTGAATTTTCAAAAAGAACATATAAAAAAAAAAGAAAAAAAAGAAAAGCAAATTCAACCAGCCTACTACCTATTCCAATCGCCACCCAAAGAAAGTGTTTTTTTAACTAGAGGCCACGATGATGGTTTCACTTTAGACTAGTTTTAACTGTACTTCTTAATATGCTTTTCGTTATTTGAAAATGTATTGTAACATTGTAATCCTGCTACTAATCCCCATTTTCTTTTTAAATCTACCAGTAATCTCATTATTTTTTTATATATAACTGCAAGGGAATAAAGTATGTTTGTTTGTATGCAGATTACTTAATCCCGTTATCCAGTACTCCTCAAGCCATCAATCAAGATAACTCCATAGCATTTACTCATGTTCCCCTGCACATACTGTCTATCTCTGTCTTTCTTGCTTCCTTCTTGCAGGACCTGTACACAAGGATAGACCAGACTCGCCCTGTCCCTTCACTGGAGGACAGCCAGTTTCATTATGGCTTTAACTCCCAGTACCTGCAGAAGGTGGTTTCTTACTGGAGACATGACTTTGACTGGAGGGGACAAGTGGACAAGCTCAACCAGTACTCCCACTTCAAAACTAACATTGAAGGTGAGTCTAAATTGCACACAGTCATGGAGAAGATGTTGTCCTTCTCTAACCCCATCTTCTTCTCTTCTTCCTCTTCCTTTTTGGACTGCCACCCAGGCGTTAATATCCATTACCTGCATGTGAAGCCCAAGAAGGTGCCGGTAGGATCTGCTGCCATTCCTCTGATAATGGTTCACGGCTGGCCGGGCTCCTTCTATGAGTTCTATGGACTGATTCCTCTGCTGACAGAACCCACAGACCCACATGACCTGGTGTTTGAGGTTGTGTGTCCTTCCATACCAGGGTACGGGTTTTCAGAAGCACCACATAAGAAAGGTGAGTTGGCAGACATTCATAGGAAAATATAAATTTATAAAAACACAAGAATATCTGACATTTTGTGTGTGTGAGAACAGGTTTTGATTCAGTTTGTGCGGCACACATCTTCCACAAACTGATGCAGCGCCTGGGCTTCCAGCAGTTCTACGCTCACGGAGGAGACTGGGGCTGGCTGGTCACCACCAACATGGCTCAGCTGCAGCCCAAGTAAGACACACACACTCTTTGTGTAAAGGTATTTATACATCGCAGTGTTTAATCTTTTCGGTATTTATTTCATACCCCAGGACTGTCAGAGGCTTGCATGTGAACTTCGCCCCCCCTTCTAAACCGGGGCTGCCCATGGCTTTATCCGTCATGCTTGGGAACCGCTTCCCAAAACTGTTTGGCTTCACTGACATGGATGTTCAGCGTCTCTACCCCTGCATGGACAAACTGGTGGTGGAATCCATAAAAGAGTCTGGCTACATGCACATCCAGGCCACCAAGCCTGACACTGTGGGTAAGGACATAGAGTAGAAAAGGATTGATAGCATCTTAAATTGGTTTATCATTTTTCTTGTTTCTGGTTTAATATTCTCTCAGGTCGAGGACTGAATGACTCCCCAGTAGGCCTGGCTGCCTACATTCTGGAGAAGTTCTCCACGTGGACGAGCCGTGACTTCAGGAACCTGGAGGACGGAGGACTCACCAGGTACAGATAAATAAAGTCGGTGCTGATATTTGCTTTCACCACGACCTTAAACATACTATTCTCTACTATGAGAATGTTCCCTGCCACACAGGGATGCACAACGAAATGTAGTTGTAGTCCATTATGCTTTACAAGAAATACATGACTAAACGGAACGGAGCAAAAAGTGTAGTCATAAGGCGCTTTCACACCACAGTACTTTTCCCACAAAGGTTCATCAGAACTTAGTTCATGAGAACTCTTTAGTTCTCATGAACTAAGTACAGATCGCGTTCACACCGGAATAAGTCCCTGAGGGAGGATTAGGCAAATGAAGCCGCTGACGTCACTTCTTCTTCTTCTGCTTTGGGTTTACTGGCAGGCAGCAAACAACTTCACGGCGTATACTGCCACCCGGAGTCCCCGACCGGAAGTCCCTGGAGTTGGGGACTGGCTTCAGTAGAAGCTGCTGGGACTCCCAGCAGCTTCTAGCCTTCCGAGTAAATCACCAGAACGCCGACACCTCCTCATCTCCACCGCTCCCATGTTTTCTTTTGTGTTGCCATAAGTTAGTCTCTCTGCGTTTGTGCGCTGGGCTAATGCTAATAATGCTAATGCGAGGATAATAAAATGGCGGCTTCACAAAACTTTTTGGGATTTTTACGGGGCGTGGTTTGCAATCCGCCCAGCCAATCAGACATAGGAACCTGTTTCTCACACGAAAGTCCCTGCTCTCTAGCAGGGACGGAAAAGGGGGTAAAAAAGGTTCTGATGAACACATTTTAGTTCCGGATTTTTTTGGTGTGAACGCGACATTTCAGAACTATATCGGAACTAAAGTGGGAAAAGTACTGCGGTGTGAACGCGCCTATTAAGTGCATTTCATGAATGTGCATAAGGGGGAATGCACACAAACAAACACAAAGGTGAGAGTCCCATTCCCTTTCTCAATGTTCAATGTTTTGCCTCCTCAACTCCTCAATCCATCTCGCCATTTTGATATTTCCCAAGCTTCTCTGCCTTCTTCTGCTGTTTGTCCACCACCATGATGTCCGGTTGGATAGCCCTCATCATTCTATTAGTCTGGATATGGAAGTCCCACGGGATCTTAGCTTTTTCATTCACAGCCACTGCCCATTTTCCCCCTGTCACTTCCTGATGTTCTCCTGAATCTTTGTCGTTTCATCCCGGATCCCCCCCTTTCCCTTAGTGTTTAGTCTCTCATATGTATATATGGCCCAATACTTTTGTATATATAGTGTGTATATATATATATATATACACACACTATATATACAAAAGTATTGGAACTACAGGAGCTTTTATGACAGGGCCAGTCCAGTTCTTCCACACCAAACTCATCCAACCAGGCCTTTATGGACCTTTCTTTCTGCACTGGGGCACAGTCATGCTGGAACAGAAAAGGTCCTCCCCCAAACTGTTTCCACAGAGTAGGAAGCATAGAATTGTCCAAAATGACTTGGTAAGATGAAGCATTAAGAATCCGCTTCAAGGGGCCGAGGCCAACCCCAGAAAAACAGCCATAGCATTATCCCTCCTCCACCAAACTTTACAGTCGGCACAATGCAGTCAGGCAGGTAACGTTCTCCTGGCATTTGCCAAACCCAGACTCGTCCATCAGACGGATAGAGAAGCGTGATTGGTCACTCCACAGAACACGTTTCCACTGCTCCAGAGTCCAGTAGCGGCGTGCTTTACACCCCTCCATCCGACGCTTGGCATTGTGCTTTGTGATGAAAGGCTTGATGCAGCTGCTCAGCCATGAAAACCCATGAAGCTCCCACAGTTTGGTGCTGATATTAATATATATATAAATCTGGAACTCTGTAGTTATTGAGTCAGCAGAGCTTTGGCCACTTTTACACACTATGCACCTCAGCACCAAATAGTGAGCCCACATTTATCTGTACCGCTAAGCCTTGTATTGGCTACTTAGCTTACTTCGTCTTCTTCATCAGCTAACATCCTTGGTATCTGTTGTTCACAGAGTTGATTCTCCTCCCCATCCATCTTGATGTTTCTTGGCATCTCTTTATGACCATCTATGAATGAGTTACTAACATTTATAATTGGTAAAAGGGAGTCTTATTGTAAAGTGTGAAACACATCACGATCTATTGATGAGTCACTAACATTTATAACTACTGAAAGGGTGCGTTGTTTTTAAGTTTAATACACATGTACATTTATGCATGAGTTATAACATTCACACTGACCTAATACACATTTTTCACATGAAATGCAAAGTAAGATGCAACAGAACCAGGCAAAACGTTTTATTCACACATGAAGAAAATTAGGACTCAAAGTAATGACTGTTTAGTATGACTGATACACATATTTAAACATAAAAGCTTTTCTCAGACATAAATGAAAGACTTGGTAAGACATAATGGTACTCAGACTGGAAAGGCTTTGTGTATATCCTTGAACAAGCGTCCAAGCAGTCCATCAGGGTGAGCAGAGCCAAGCCAAGATGACCATTCAAGAACCTTGAGGTGTTCCTCCAACAAACTCTCTGTACGGTTTCCTCTCAGTCTACGGACATGTCCTTTGACGGTCGACCTAGCTCTTTTATATGTTGGGTATGACTGCAGTCTGGGGGTTCACAAACTACCTGCTGTGGTTTATGGTGTAGTGGTTGTACCCCATGTTACTCAGCACTCTCCTGTATGCCCTCCACTCATCACTAATAATGCTACTTCCTGACTTAACATGCCGTCTAATCAGAGGGACAAGGTGGCATCTTGATCTTTTCTCCACTAGTTTCAACACTAGTCTCCGCCTTTTGTCTTTAACTCCCATCATTCCGAAGACCCATTTTTCCTTCTCCAAGTATGTCCAAAGCGTCCACGTGCATACTAACAAAAAATAAATCATAACATCATCTTAGTTAACAACAAAATGCACACAAATTACAGTAAAAATTGTTGCACATCATGTTTCAAAATGCCATACTTGTTTATTAGGTGCATTGTATAACATCATTTAAGGATAATTATACAGTAATGGTCCATATTGATTTTTTTAAATTCTCTTGTACAAGAAAGCCCAGTCTATAACTGCCGAACATAGGAACTGGGAACAGTACCTTCTCCCAGACACAAATACTCAAATAAAATAGTTTACTTTATCAGCATTGGTATTACCAATGCTTACTGTTTATTTGATACCAATTTGGTAATACAATTAATAAAAAGGAACTCACCTTGTGGTATAACCGGCAAGAGAGAAAGCCTTTGAGCTCCATACTGTTTCAGAAATAATCCTTGATCTAATAATCCTTGCGTTTCATCACCGCAGCATTTTAGACAGTATCTGCCAAGTCCCCCATGAGCCGGCATAAGCTCCGCCCCCTCTTATTTATTTATTTTTCAGTTTAAAAAAAAAAGCTTTATTTTTTATTTATTTGTTTGCCTTTATTTATACAGGTGAAAATCTCATTGAGACACAGGGTCTCATTCTCAAGAGAGACCTGTTTATACCCAGAATCAGCACTTTTGTAACAGGAAGAGAAATAGAGGGATATGAGGCATGGCTAGAATGGGTGATCTGTTTGGTTATTTGACCAAAACACTTCATAGACATGTTTTTTATATTTTTTTATATATCTGAGAGCTATGCTATTGCCTAAAAATAGCATGATAGGCGACCTTTAAGGCTTAATATAACTTAAACAAATTATAAATGGTAGTAACTCATTAATAAATGGTGATTTGTTTAACACTTTACAATAACAATTGGTTGTAACTCATTAATAAATGGGAATGTGTTTCACACTTTACAAGGCTCCCTTTTGGCAGTTATAAATGTTAGTAACTCATAAATAAATGGTCATAAAGAGATGCCAAGAAACATCAAGATGGATGGGGGGGGAATCAACTCAGTGAACAACAGATACCAATGATGCTGGCTGATGAAGAAGACAAAGTAAGCTATTGCCAATATAAGGCGTAGTCATCTTGCCAAATAGTGAGCCTGTGTTGATGTATGAAAACTATGTTATAACTGGTTTATAAATGGTTCTTAATGATTAATAAAGTGTTTACAACCTAATTATAAACCCTTTATGAATCCTTTATAAGGGTAGTCTTATTGTAAAGTGGTACCCAAACTTGTCATAAGTTCTAAATAGCATCAGGTGCAACTGCGTATGTTTCAGCAGTCATACTGATCAAATATCTTCAGTTTCAGAAAATATGGATGAATGATGGTAGCCTCTCGGTAGACTCTTTACTGTCATATTAAATGTTCTTGCAGGAAGTTCTCTCTAGACGACCTGCTGACTAATGTGATGATCTACTGGACATCTGGCTGCATCGTCTCCTCCATGAGGTTCTACAAGGAAAACTTTGGCAAAGGCCTCAACGCACCTCACTCTAAGTGAGTGACAAACACCAAGTTGGATGTGACCAATGCTGTGTGTTGGTTCTTATAAAGCAGATGTAGAAACAGTGTGATGTTGATTATCATTTTAAATTAGTTTAAATGAGTCCTGGGCCACAATTTTCTAGTCACAAATACTTAAAGGGGACCTATCATGCAAAATGCACTTTTGTACGTCTTTTCTACATGAATATGTGTCCCCGGTGTTCCAGGGAACTCACCAAGTGTCAGAAAACACAACCCTCTCTATTTTCCTCCATACCCAAATCTCTAAAAAAGGGGCTGCAACGGATCTGATAAAAACTGATCCAGATTTGAACACTGTCCTGACGTCAGGACGGTGGCGCTACGGCTATTGGGCCAACTCCACCAATCAGGAGGAGACAGCCACGGCTATTGCCGTTCGAAAGCGCTGGAGACGCTGTAGTACATATGCCAGGCCTGTAAGTGGCGCTGTAGTCTGCCACAAAAGCAGCGAAGAAGACTTCCCGCCCATAGTTACCATGGTTACCCTTCTGTTTATTCTCCGCTGTGGCTTTCTTTCTCCCTCCCCGAGGCAAGCGTTTGCTCCCGCTGCTTTAATTCAATGCAATCCCTCCCCGTCGAGGCAAGCACTGTAATTCTCTCCGGTTAGTCCACCAGCAGATGACAAACACCCACCTCTCCGCCTCTTCCAAGGAACGAGGGGACCGTGCGGCAGAGTTTCAGTTTCAGTTTCTTTCGCCGGTCAAGATGTCCGTTAAAGTTTAAATCTTCCGGACAAAATTAGAAAAGTGCCGGTCAAAGGTCTTCTTTGTTATTTATTGAGCTTTAAAACAAATGAATAACGACTCTATATAATAAAACACGGAGGACGGAGATCTCTTTTTCTCCCCCTCTTCTGACAGCCCAGCAGCTGATCAGAGCACGTCTCCCCTCTCCTGCAGGGGGGCGTGGTCAGCAGAATCAGACCCGTAGACAGCAAACAGCACATAGAGCGAAATGAGGCATGGCTAAAATGCATGATCTGTTTGGTATTTTGAAAACAGAAACGTATAAATATACCTTATATAGGTATGGCCCTACAATATATCATTTAAATATAGCATGATAGGTCCACTTTAAATTCTGAGCAGATACATTCAAGTTTTGAGTAATGGTATATTTTGACAGGATATTTTCATCATTTTAGAAGTTTCCTTGACTTAACTGATATCCAGCAATATATGTTGTGTACAAGTTTCATGTATTAGCAGCATGTCAACAATATTTTCTTTGTTACCACATTGTCTCGACACAGGATGACTGTATTTGTCCCCACTGGCTTTGCCTGCTTCCCCAATGAGCTGATGCACACTCCCAAACTATGGGTCAAGCAGAAATACCGCAATCTGGTGACATTCACGCCCATGGCCCGTGGAGGCCATTTTGCCGCCATGGAAGAGCCCCAGCTGATGGCCGAAGACATCCAGAAGTTCATTAAGCTGGTGGAGAAGAAGAAGCAACAGTAAGGACTGCACTGTGTTTCTCTAGAAGTGGAATCCTTACTATTAGTGAATTTCCTAATCATACTTCTTGGTGATTAAGCCAGTCTAATGCTGTGTAATACTAGAACATGTTTGCATGTTTGTGTCTGCAATTGTTGTAAAGAGGCAGAAAGATGGTGTGGTATTATGGTGCTGACAGCCTGGACATTCCTCTGATAACATGAAGCTACAGCCATGGTGCCTTACACCTCTTAATCTGACTGTATTTCTCCTTTCAAATTCATTTAAGTGTATTAAGCTTTGATAAAGTCGGGTGCTTTTTATGTATTACACAAGTGTCATTGATGTATTTGCTATGCATTAACCTTCACATTTTGTCTCAGTAATTGACTGACATTGATTGACTTTAATTTGCTGTCGTACTTCAATTTATATAAGTCACAGGTGAAGCACTGCTTACTCCCTCTATTGATATAAGCCTCTGTTCTTCACATCATAGCCTAACATTACAGTTATAGTTCTGAGAAAATGTACATTATCAGGTTGATCTTGAAGAAGTGACATGTGCTGTATGAAGATAGTTTACTTAAGTGGTGAACGTTGCTAAGTCTTTGAGAATTTAAGAGATTTTAACATTGGCATGCTCAATATATGTGTGGAAATGCCTTGTAAATCACATATTTTGGAATCTTCTGAAATAACATTATATCTTACAATGAAATGCTGATCGAATCTTTCCCTCTTTACCCTTTCCAGTCTACAATGAATTGCAATGTTTGCTACCGTTCCAAGATGGTCAGTATGACTTGTATCTAAGATTAAGACACAATGTTCTGTCTATGATCAAATTCAAATAAAGTTGTTAGCGGCTGTAATATTACAGCTTGTGACATAGAAACATTTCAACACTTGAACACATTTCAGTTTGTTGTGAACCAAGAAATACATCCATATTTTGACCCAATTTTGACCCAATTTTACAGTTATGTAGGCACATTTTTTATTTTTTATTAACGCTGTGTGATTAAAAGAATAAACACAAATAGCAGGATAGGCAATACAGAACTTTATTTCGTACCTTGATACTACAGCCATTGATAACACAGCATTAGACATATTTGGCAAACTCTTTTTTTTATTGTATTGCACACTATTTTTTATCGTATTGTAGTCGATTGTTGACATTGTACAGTTCTTTAGACATATTTGCTATATCTTATCCCACTGAAAAGGCACTGCACCGTTAAAATATTGGCATAGTTCATCCCTGTGCTGCTTGGCTCGAGCTGGACTATTGGTGGTGTGTGGCAGGGTGGCCTGCCGTAGTTCAGGGTCTTGTCTCCATCTTTCTGGGAAAATGCCATGATCGGGTCCTTCCTGGTCAACAACTCCCGCCATGTATGCGCTACAGTTCTCTGTGCGCAGGAAGTTGTGCAGACCACAGCAAGCCAAAACGATGGCTTCCACTTTGGCAGTGTCTTGAATGTTTATGGTGGTGAGAAAGACCCGAAAACGGTTGGCTAGGATGCCAAAGGCATTTTCTACCACCCTCTGAGCCCGCGACAGCCTGTAGTTGAAGATGCGTTGCTCTACAGCTAGCCTGCGGTTCGGATAGGGCTTCATCAGGTGCTCCTTCAGGGGAAATGCCTCATCTGCCACAATGGAGTAACAAACCGCCTGGCCAGACGCTGTGTTTGTTTGTTTATATCACTCAGTCTGTTCTTCTTCTCTTGGTGTATAAAAGGCAGTCTGTCTTCCGGTTGTTGCCTCTTTTGAATAGAGTGGCAAAGTCCCTCCCACTTACTTCCGGGGTATGGGACCTTATTTCGGAAAAATTATGCATTGAAGTCAATGGGGAGAGAAAACTTATCTTTCGATCCCGTTTGAATTGTGCCATGAATTACACATATGATGTTTGTCAATCTTAAAAAATCATTTCCATGTCAAAAAAGTCACAGTTTGTCTTAAAACTGTTGAAATATAAGACTTTGAAAAATACGAAACTAGAAAGACTACAAATCCCAGAGTCGCGTAAGTGATGTCACAATTGAGACACGACGATACACGTATAATACCGTATATATACGATCAGCGCCATATAGATAGAATCTATCTATATGGCGCTGGCTAAGATAAGATAACTTTCACAAGATGCCTGTGTGCTTAGTACCAGGTTGTTATTATACCAGCAATGGGTCTTGCTTGTTCTTTCGCTTCCCGTCTGATGAAAGAGGAGTGTGTAGATCAAGTTAGCTACCTAGCTAGTAGCTAGCACGTTAGTTAGCATTACAGCCTTGTCATTTTTATTAGCCTTAACATGAAGTAACATTAAGTAACCCAAAATGTTAAACAGTAAGCGTAGTAGTCATATTTCGTGAACCCTTTGAATAGTACTGTCACCGGTGTGATCATTCTATAATACACAATTTAAGCCCGGGGGAGAAATGCTAACGCTAACGCTAGCGATCTTCTCTACTTCATGCTATCTGCACAAATGGTTGACATTAAACATTAAAACGACCGGGCAGTTCAGAGAGAATCGAAGGCAGGCAGGCAGCTTTGCATGACATTCTTCAGGACGTGTTTCATTGTGGTGATAGTGTGAGGGTAGCCAATCGGTTTGTTGACAGTAGTGACGGCCATCTTGGTGACGTGTGTTGTTCTGTGAGACCAGAGATGTAGTTCATTGAGCGGTTCACACAAACAAATGTGTTACTTCACAGTTTTAAGACACATTTTATTTTTTTTTACTTGCAAAATTATCTTTTAAATTGACAAACATCATATGTGTAATTCGTGGCACAATTCAAACGGGATCGAAAGATAATCTTTCTCTCTCCATTGACTTCAATGCATAACTTTTCCGAAATAAGGTCCCATGGGGCTCAACCGGAAGGGGAGGGACTTCGCCACTCTATGACGAATACACACTACCGCTGCCTGCTGTTAAGGACAGTAGATTCCACCGGGTCCGTCTGCGGCGCGTTACGGGCGCGTTACGGCTGCGCCGCGGTGCTCACGGCGATCGCGGCCACTCTAGTCAATGGGTGCTATTCCTCCACACGCGACGCGTTACGGCTCAGAAGCGTCCCAGAAGCGGCTCGGCGCAGGGCTCCTCTAAAATTAGGATCGAATCCTATTTTTGTCGCGGCGCAGCCATAACGTAAGGTCGGGCAGGCAGGAAGTGGAACGTTCAGAGCTATATATAGCATATATATATATAGATATATACACACACACAAACACACAAACACATTTTGCAGACCTTATCCCTCCGTAGTCTTTCAAGTAGGAGGAGAAATGCCAGCGTTCTCCTCCGGTTTACAGGCACTGTGTCAATTATATACATAGAATAATTATGATGATGAATGCATTTTTTTACCACTAAAATACAGCAACACATCTTTGATTCATGTGTTTTATAACTGGAATATTACAGTTATTATTAACTTTGTCTGTACAAAGTAGCCTGTCCAGGAAATATGCCCAAATCAACAAAAACTGCGAGCCGGCAGGCAAGACGCTCCGCTTCTGAAATGCTTCTGAAACGCGCCTGGTAGGGTATGATGCCGGAGGAGGCCGGACCAAAACCGCAACGCGGCGCAGACGGACCCGGTGGAATCTAGGGGTTATTGCCACTCGTCGACTGAAGTATTTGCGGTGTGTTCGTAGGCGGGCGGCGTAGCGGGCGACGTAGTCGACGCAGCCGACGCAGGCGATGAAGCTGACGTAAAAGTTGGGACGCCTTCGGTACGCCTTCTTTGGTCTCAGGTGGGTGTGTAGCGGCCTTTACATAGTGATGTCACCACTTTCAGAAAGAAAACAAAGGAGTCCAATTTGAGGCCTTTCATGCAGGGAGGAGCAGTGTGTGGGAGAGAAACCCCCTCTGGAGGGAACTTTGGGATTTTAGCCTTTGCTGACTTTTACATGCACAGAAACCTATAGAACACACTACAGGAGAGGGGAAATCCTTTGAGGCGCTTTAAAGATAACTTGGTACACTTTATCAGTAAGATTCTTTGTTGACTCAGATAAAAAAGAACATTTCATGGTGTGAAATGCAGATGTTTTGTGTAACATGAGTCATTTTCTGCTGAGGGTTTCTAATCTTAGATCCTCTCTGGTGTAATGGACCACCCATCAGCATGGTGAAGACAGTTTTTATTTTAGTGTATCTTTGTCTGATAAATACCAATTGTCAAGCATAGAGTTTACATTTATATACAGTGTCAGATGATGACACTATTATCTATTTTGTGTACTTACTTGATTTTTGTACACTACAATTATGATATAAAAAGCAAACATAAAAAACATATTATTGTGAAAATGTTGATTTAAGATCATGCTAGTTCTATTCAATGCTGCTGAGTTCATGTCATTCAAACCTGCAGCTCTGTGCAAGTGAATGTCACCTTATCATGATGAGGTGGTCTTCTACAAACCAAAATGCTCTTCTGCCTCTGTTTGGTAATGTTGAATGTCGCACTGCCCTGAGCTTCCACTCTGTCCAGTTGTAAGCAAAGCGAGAGTTTCCCAAGCCCCTTGGTGCCCTGGCGCGGGACACCCTCCCAGAGCTGCTCTCCCCCACCGGCTTGACTGCCTGCTCTTCTTGGCAGCCAAACAGCCAGGGGAGGATCAAGATGACCGGGCGGCTGAGATAAGGGCAGCATGAAGTTCCCCACATTACCTCACCCGATAAGGAAACCAGCGGAGAGAGAGAGGCAGGCTGGGAGGAATCCTCTGAACGAACAGTGATGCACAGAGAGGCAGACACACTTCGTTGGGTTTTTAGTGGTCTGGGTGGAACCGCTACCCACAGAGGCCTTTTGAAGTCGACAGATGCTTGAACATAATGGTCCTCAGTAGAAATAGAAACATGTGCACAGACTTTTAAAATGTCCTGGATGTAAAGAAGACCTCAGACTATTTGTTCTTTAGAGGATTTACCAGAGCAGTTGGTGGATGATACAAACATCTTCAACACGGGAGAGCAAGCTTCCATCCTGCCAATTCAAATAGACTGAAGAAAGTGAAAAAAAACTTGAGGAGAGTCTGCTTCAGCACTGATGGCGGGGAATCCTCTGGAAAGTCTTATGTCGGTTTCAGCAAACCATCAGCTTGTGTCCAACTCCGCCGCTCAGCCCTGGAGGCAGCAGCCTGGGAGGGGGGGCGGCCCAGCATCCCCACACAGGCAGAGCACACGCAGGAAGTGGGTGAGTCTGAAACCTTCAAAAGGTCCCTGGTTACAGACACCAGCGGGATATTGCACAACCTTCTTAATTATTACTACCATAATTACCAAGACATAAAAGTAATAATTAAAGCAAAAAGGATGAAACTAACTAATGTTCTTGAGTCAAATGTATTTTGTATTTATTTTCACATTGAATCTTTCAGCAATTCACTGTGACAACATACAACTTGTAGCAAAATGTATTTTAGAATGAACAAATTATGATATATTTGACTTATATACTTTTTTTGAAAGTAAGTAAAAGGATGTTGCTAAATGAACTGTTAATTTAATAAATGTTCTCTATTACTAGGTTTGATTTGATTGTTCCACCCTGTGCTGCAGGCGCAGTCTGTGTTTGGGTCCAGGTTAAACTCTGGTTCTTGTGGCGAGTCTGCAGTTCGGTCCGGGACAATGAGGGGTCAGCACTCTCCAGAAAATGCAGCGCGAGAGAGGAGCCGTGTTCGGAACCTACGACAGGCCTTCCACAGCCTTCAGGTACACTGGACATACATCAGTCCCTTCCCAGTATTCTCATTCATTATTCGGCACTAAATATGCATTCTAAAGATATTTATTAATATTCATACATGTATGTACATTACTACAACATTCTTTGTAATGTGAATTTATTGAAACCTCATGCACTTCTCTACTCTTTGCTGTTGGATGCATTTCATGTAATCTTTGCAATGAAAATATAGTGTAATCTAATCTAATCTTTACTTGATTATTTGTTCCATGCCAGCATAAACTTCTACTTTACTAATTCAAAATATTGTACTTTGAACTTCACTACATTTATAAAATTAGGATTTATTAAAACGTATAAAATATGCAACCCGGTATCACGGCAAGACGTGAACATGTGACGATCTACCATGCTGGGAGACGTGAATATGTCACGGTTACGTCCCTTCAAACGTGACAGTGGGTGTTTCTCAATCGCGAGTACGCTTGCTTGGTAGCACATGTCTGCCGAGCATCTTGCTTCAGAAGCGAGGCAAGAATCCTTCCTGGCATTCGGAAAACAAAGAGTGGAACAGGCTAGCAAGTGTGCAGGTGTGCGTCATATGAGAGGCCCCGCCTTACATCTTCCGTCACATATTTTGGAAATTGGTCCGTGCGCAAAGCATTGTGGGGATTTTAAGACCGCGGAGTCTACTCATGTGCAGCCTCGATATTTCTCCAAACGGAGTTCGCCGGGCTCGGTAGATTTCCAAGTATGCTGGAGATTGGAACAGTCCTTCGGCGGCACTCGATGACGTAGTATGCTTGAAATAGTGGCTCTGAAGCAGCTTTACTCGCCATTGAGAAACACCCACTTACACGGTATTGTTAACATGGCCCAACCAGTGGAGAAATACCCGGAAGTGCCAAGCAAATGGTCTACCGCGCCTATTGGTCGGTTTTTATTGTCAAAATTAGATGTTTTTAATACATTTTTTAATCGTGACACTCGATTTCGCCGATTTTCTTGTTGCCCTAGCTGGTCGACACCTCTTTTAGCAGAAACAAAGGCTACATTAATGTATTCAATCGATGTTAATCCATGTGGATGTGGAATTAACGGACGTGACGTTGTGCGATTGCGTTGCCAGGCAACGCAATTTACAAACTCTTCAACTACAACCCTAATTATATTTAAAAACATTTTAGAAGGCCTCACAAAATACTTTAATGTAAATTAAAATGTAAATGTGAAGGGATGTGTGTAATGTGGTGATTGACATTATTCACCCACGGACCTATGGGTTGGGGGTATTGTTCCGCACGGACATTTTAGTTAACCGGACTCCTGTTGATGTGAAATCCGAAAACATTTTTAAAAATAAAATAATACTTTATTCCGAGTTTGCTTGCTTTTCTCTTTGGAGGTCATCACATAACGGCATTGTAATACACGGTTCGGCTGCATTAAATATGACATATCTGCCGTAGTTCTCTATTTATAGAGCCCTGATGAGAAGACTTCTAGACAAACAGGAAGCACTGCCGCCAAAACTGAAAACGTGACGTGGATCATAAATATATCAGCAATTAAACAACATCTTAGATTTCTTTTCACACAATACGTCTCCTTGCAGTATCAACACTAATTCGGCTGACTTTTATATTTGATCCAATTGGTAGATAGGATTTACACCATAACGGTGCACAGCTGATAGAAAGGCACATCTAGTGGTTAAAGCACGTTATTGCATTTTATAATTTTATTATTTTTCACAAAAATGAAACCATCAATAGCAAAAACAGAATTAACTGTCATTAGTAAACCACTCAAATAAAAAGATCATAAGTGGTTTTGTTTTACATATATTTTAAGGATAATAATAGCAATGTAACACTGTCTATGACACTTACGGGCCGTCTCCACGGCAGCGTTAAAAAAATCTTGGAGGTGGGCGTATCTGAAGCTTGGGGATTTTTTTGCGATCAACCAATCACATGAATCTCCCGCCCGCGACATACGAAGCCAAAAAGCCCGAAGTAAACTGGATATAAACTCCCCAAAACAGGCGAAAACATACCACTGTCTCTGCCACCTCCCTCCATGCCTGGCTCCTCCGGTTTATATCCCGGTAGGTCTGGTCATAAAGCACCGGGTGATTGATTCGCTACCGCTAATTTCTCCTCCATTTTTTGGAATATGAGGAAATGATCTGCGGTATGTCTCTCCCAGCATACACGCCGTTTGATTGGCTAGAGCTTGAACTGTCAGATTTGCGTACACGGGATTTGATTGGCTGACGCTTCCTCCTCAGCTTCAAAAGTTGAACATTGTTCAACTTTGGATCTTGAAAATCCTGAGAATCTCCGCTCGCCTGCCCACAATGCATTTCGGCGAAAGCGAAAAAAAGTGACGTCACCCCATTCAAAGTGAATGGGCAGAAGCGTTTCAAGATTTTTTAACGCTGCCGTGGAGACGGCCCGTTACTGTATAACACTGATTTGAAAAACATACAGAAAAAACGAATTCACTGCCCTTAATAAAGTATTTAAATATACATTTCAGGTGTGCTGTTTTGTTTAGATCATTAACATCTGGAGCTCTTTTAATGTCCTTTTTGATTATTGTTACACCAGGTCTTGTCAAAACCTTTATTCCATATTCAATATCCATTACTAAACAAAACAGCAATTCTACTCCACTACAATTCAGAGGTTAACCTGGTATTTTTACTCCACTACATTTATTTTAGTTACTTTGCAGATTCTGATTAATGATGTGAAATATAAACAACCCTTAAATCAGGCTTTAGTTACACCTGAGTAAAATTCAGGGAAAGGTGATTGTCAAGTGCCAACAATCAGGCGAGATATTTGATAGTTGGTGCTTGAGAAGACTAAACATTTATCTGCAGATCCCTATAAAGTATATTCATTACTCGTTATTCTCTACTAATAGTTAATTAAAGACTGTATATAATGGCTATTTTGCACATCCCTTTCAAGATTTTAAGATTTTCTAAGGTTCATTGACATATCATATACACAACTAATTCAATAACGTGCTTTAACCACTAGGCAGTGCACACAAGGTACACACAGCCATAATAACTTTGTATTATTAGTGTAGGACACTTGTGTATGTATAACATCTGAAGATGTGTAGTTTTATTCATGTTTTCACATAATTGTACAGGATATTGCTATATTATTTCACATGTTTTACTTCTAATATCTGATTTGTAAAACATCACAGACAGAAAGGTATATCCGTCATTTAACAGTAAGCTATTGAAATTCTGAATCCATAGATGTGTCTCCCATCACCCAAATCCCCTGACTATTCTCTCAACTCAGTATTTACATTCTTATATTCAAAGAAAATCAGTAATATCTTTAAAAACGACAAGTCCTTTTATGATTTCACATCAACAGGAGTCCGGTTAACTAAATGTCCATGCGGAACAATACCCCCAACCCATAGATCCGTGGGTGAATAATGTCAATCACCACATTACACACATCCCTTCACATTTACATTTGAATTTACATTAAAGTATTTCGTGAGGCCTTCTAAAATGTTTTTTAAATATAATTAGGGTTGTAGTTGAAGAGTTTGTAAATTGCGTTGCCTGGCAACGCAATCGCACAACGTCACGTCCGTTAATTCCACATACACATCTCCACACCCATATATACAGTCTATGCTCCACACACATGGATTAACATCGATTTAATACATTAATGTAGCCTTTGTTTCTGCTAAAAGAGGTGTCGACCAGCTAGGGCAACAAGAAAATCGGCGAAATCGAGTGTGACGATTAAAAAATAAATGAAAAACATCTAATTTTGACAATAAAAACCGACCAATAGTCTTGGTAGACCATTTGCTTGGCACTTCCGGGTATTTCTCCACTGGTTGGGCCATGTTAACAATACCGTGTAACTGTCACGTTTGAAGAGACGAAACCGTGACATATTCACGTCTCCCAGCATGGTAGATCGTCACATGTTCACGTCTTGCCGTGATACCGGGTTGAAAATATGATGGTGTTTTTATGAATACATACAATACATGAACAGGATAGTCAATTATAGACTATTGAGAGAAATGTAGTATTTATTATTATTTCAAATATTTAAGTAAGTAATTTCAGATATATTGAGGCCTCAATTATACGTTATTTTTAACTTCATTTTGCTGAGTATTACTTGCACATAAGTTACCTTTTCAATGCAACAGAGTATTTGTACAGTTTAAGTAAAGGATCTAAATTCTTCTTCCATCACTGATCATGGGACTGCTTGGAAGGAACTTTCCACCTCCTGAGGAGAAGAGCTGGTGGCTCAGGAGTAAAGATCAAAATGGTGTAGACACAATTCCTGGAACAACTCTTCACACACACTATTTCTAAAACTCACACAAAATGTTACAAACATGTATGGTCTGGGTCCTTTGGAATTGAAGGCTAATGAATTCAGTTGAGTGTATAGACAGTTGTAAGCTGATTTGATCCTCTGTCCACAGGCGGCTCTGCCCTCAGTCCCACCTGACACCAAACTGTCCAAGCTGGACATTTTGGTTCTGGCTACTAACTACATAGCTTTCCTGACGGAGACATTGGACCAGGGACGGACGCAAGCTGAGCACACCTTTCCCTCCCAGCCGGGGGGAAACCTGCATCCTGTTAAGGTGCAATCATGCTGAGTGCATTACACTGAATGCTGCTCTCAGAGAGGAGATTATATGACTTGCTGATACATAAATGATTATCCACTTAGGACACTGTTCTTGGGACAAGCCCTATCGCACAGAAAGATTGGATAAAGATGCAACTGTACCTATACCAACAGCTGTGCATCATGTCAGGTGGCTGATATTATTATGATATTGAAAAAAGTTAGATAACTTGATTATGTTATTACATTTTAGTAGTCTAGATAAAACGACTAATGAGAACTAGAAAGTCCTAGCTCATAAGAGGATAAAACATCCCACTAATATAACCTTTATTTGAAAACCTTATTTAATTTGGTTGTATCTGTATAAATTCACTTATATTACCTGAAAAAAGCCACTGATTATAAGTAGTCGATCTCAGCTAATTACAACAGGCTAGTTGAAACCACATATATTACCTTTAGATCATGAACTTATTTGATTTGGTTATAAGTACATGAAAACTCTAATATTACCAAGATGACACATTTGTATTATCCAGTTTTAAGTACATAAAACCTCTTATAATTTGTTAAGATTATTTTGCCTTTTGATTATTGTGACCTTGTAAAGACAAGAATGAAACACTCCAAGTAGACAGTCCTAAGTTCTGGAACATTGATGGCTCGGGAGGTTTGACCCCCAATCCCTGCATTAAACATGTCGAGTATCCCTGGGGCATGGCCACTGGTGTCTGAATGTGTGAGTGTTTTAGTTGTACTATATGGCAGCCTGTGCCATGACTATGTGTGTGAATGGATTTATGCTGTCTTGTCATTTAAAATATGTAAGTCATTGCAAGGACAAAGATTGTAGAAATCACTCTAATGCTCCCTAGGTCTAGGATACGCCTGAACATTTATATATATATATATATATATATATATATATATATATATATATATATATATACAGTACATATATATATTTCTTTATTTAATATAGGAAAAAGTCGACTACTGTAATGGCTCAGGGCCTTCACTGGGGCTGTGACCGAGGTCCCCTTCTCTTCTGAGGTAGGTTGGGGCTGTGACTTTAGGGGAATACTAACTGTAATAAAAACAACCGCCAAGAAGACATTGATGCAGGTATTCTTTCAAGTTTGGGTAGCCTGTGTGTAGCACGAGAGATGTAACTTGGGACAAAAGTGGCATATATGTTGCTATGGGTTGTTTTTGCGTTTATCAAATATCATGGTGCTATTCTATTGCATTAAGAGATAACCAAATGATGTTATTTCTCTCCTCAGAAGTGGCCCATGCGTTCCCTGCTCTATTGTGGCAGCGTGGCCGAGCTGCTTTCAGGAGTCACGCCTATTCCCGGACAGGATGGAACACACCCCCTAACCCCCCGCCAAGAAGCAAACAAAGAGTGATAGCTAAGAGGGGTCATTACTTTCCCCCTTCTCAAATGTTAATCAGCTGCCATTGGGAGCATAAGAAGCTTCTATTTGAAGTATGTCTTTATCTGTCAGTAAGAAGCTTCCTTCCTTCTACATTCACTGTAATGTGAATGATGTTGCTTAGGTAGGCTCTGCAGTTTAACTTTAAGAACACTACAGAAAAAAGAATCAAAACTTTTGAGCCATCAAAAGTAAAAGGAAGGCAAAGATTTTCATATGTTGGATGGAGATGGACAATATGCAGTTACAATCACATTTTGAGCCAAGGCTGTTGAAAAAGTATAAACCTTTCTCATTTCATTATTTCATTCAAGAATTGGCAACAGTTTATTTTTCTTTATTCCTGTGACTATTATGTTTGTATCTGCAAAAGCCTGTGTGTGTGTGTGTGTGTGTGTGTGTGTGTGTGTGTGTGTGTGTGTGTGTGTGTGTGTGTGTGTGTGTGTGTGTGTGTGTGTGTGTGTGTGTGTGTGTGTGTGTGTGTGTGTGTGTGTGTGTGTGTGTGTGTGTGTGTGTGTGTGTGTGTGTGTGTGTGTGTGTGTGTGTGTGTGTGTGTGTGTGTGTGTGTGTGTGTGTGTGTGTGTGTGTGTGTGTGTGTGTGTGTGTGTGTGTGTGTGTGTGTGTGTAATGGACTCACAGATGTGCAGTGGGAGGATGTTGTGGGAACACAGCTGCTGTCTGATCACTTTTTATCTCCACAGTAATGATGACTTGGTTCTAATTACGACCTTGCCACACAATGTAACCTTCCTCTTTGAGTAAACACAGTCAGTAACAGCTTGTGTGTGTTTGATATTTTTTTCTAGAGACCCCATGTTAACAATTGTAAATCAAACTTTGTGGACTTTAAAGCTAATTACCAAATTGAGCTAACATATCTTACTTCTGCTCTATGAATAGTCACAAAACCACACATTAACAAATGTAACTAAAATAGTTGAAAAGAAAGCTTTATATTAGCTAGGTTCCACTGGACAACAACTTGCATTAAAAAACAAGACAAGGTTTCCACTGTCTTCCTTTTTCAAAGTATTTGAAGTTTCTGAACTGAGAAATTACAAAGTATCATATTTTTACCAGCATGAGTACAAATTGCTGACGTGAGTGATCGGCATTGAAATCTATACCAATAAATCACAGATATGTCTGCAGGGTGGATAGGAAAGGCATGCATCAGATGAGAGCAGACAAACTGAAGTTCTCTCCTCCTTGAACAAGATGGGCTCCGCTCCACACGCAACAGCCCAATGTTCAAGGCCAGCACTGTAAATCCCCCCCCCCCCCGATTTCCTGTGTGTAGTGATGACTCATTTGGAGATGCTTGGGTCTGACTACTAAGGCAGAGTTTACAGAATGACAGTGAAAGCTTGATCGTATAGCTGGAAAAACATATGCTCAAAACATTTATAAAAAACCCCCAAAGATGCCAAAACCAATCCAATATGGTCCAATTCTGCCGAACAGTTGCTTAAATATATTGTTCATGTAAGCAATAATGCTCATTATGCAACTTGCAAAACACATGTAAGTTGGCATCTATAATTTTCTAAATAAATTGGATCCACAATGTTAAATAACTAAAAACGAGGAAGTACTCAACATTTCTAGTTTCAGAATGTGGTTTTATGGGCTTTCAAATGTTTTGCTCCTTCATAAACTGATAACTATGTCTATTTTTTTTTGTTGAAGTTCAACAATCTAAACCAATCTCAACTGCTCAACTCCTAATATTAAACTAAACACTTGCAGCTTTTCAAACTATATCTACAATTTTCACAGTTTAAACTCAGGATTCCACTTAAATATTTCATGCTCTATTTATTTATTCATATTTATATTAATATTTACAACCATTTTGGCTAATCACATATTTTCATATATACATTATAACATACACTATCAGACTAGTCGCGGGTGCATCTCTATTTACAGGCTGCGGCTGTGTGTGTTAGTGCTCATGCTTCCATGTAAAGACAACTCATCTCCCATGTTGGGAGGTGAGAACATATCCTGCTCATTATCGCCGGGACATGCTGATTACAGGCTGGATTTATGGAGCTCTGAGGCCACAATCCCCCTGCTTTGGCCAGGCCTCTGATGCCATGTAGAATCAGAGGCAGAGGAGGACAGGGTGGAAGAAGAGGAAGAAGAGGGGAGGGTGGAGGATAACAGTAGAGAAAGGACAACTGTATTTGGAGACAAAAATGTGAGAATAGTTCATGAGGACAGAAAAAGACAGGAGGACAAAGGGGAGCAACAGGGGAGATGAAGGTGAAAGCTTTTATTTGTTATAAACACATATTTGATCATATTGAGATTTAAATTGCACTTAACCGCAAAATGTTTTTAATACTACGCTACTCTTTAGCTTGAAGCTTTGGTAAATATTTTCCACACATTTAAACATGGTTTATCCACTTACCTTTTCCTTTTTTACGTTTGCATTGATGGAAAAAGGTCAGCGCTGCTATTTGACACTTTTTTAAAAGCCGATTTCAGTAAACAGCCAAAGCATTAAGCCTATAATAATTTAAGCTCACAGGTTGTTCTGCAGCTTAACTCCAGTTCAGCCAATGGGAATTAAAATCTGAGCAGAAATCTCAGGCATGCTGTTCATTTTCATGTCACCATACTTAAATCATGTGATAAATACATGTCTGAGCAACATATCCTGACGTTTGAAACGTATTGTGTGGAGTTAAATTATTTGGCCTAAAATTAAAACCTTTTTTTTTTTTTAAGAAAGCTGTTAAAAACTGAAATGTCTTATCTTCACAAACACAATATGCGTCTCCATTAAGCTCTGCATTACATGTTTTAATGTACTTTTACACATAATTAAAGAGACTTTCATCCCACTGTATTACTGTACAGTGTCAATGAGTCCATAACACTGTGTCAACCCCTTATTGTTACAGAAACCATCTGGATGTTAATAATGGCCTGATGTTCTTTATGAATGTGTCATATTGATAATCTTGGTATGTGTTATTTGTAATCGTGTTGTTAAAAAGCATGACAGAGATGACCTTTACATATGATTATGTGTTTTGAACACTTTACTATATATTTACTGAGTCTCAACATACAGCGTTTCCACAAATACGGATATCATGATTTTATTTTAGACATCAATAAGTTGAAAGCAGGGGAAGAATTCTGAACATATCATTGTAAATAAAACAGGCTGGAGGACCATATTGGTTGTATTCTCAGTTTTACTGTCCTGTATAGCCTACATGTGACGTGAGCAGGATAAAATGCTCTTAATGACCGCTGGGTGGCACTGTAGTAACTGCAGTACCGGGAAAATAAAACACGAATTGCTCTTACGTCATCTCCGAGCGACTGTTGACTCTCCAGATACCACCATGGCCGAAACTGAGTATGTAATTGTGTTAAATGTAATCTATCTCAATCCGTTCTTTATCTATCTGCATTTGTTTTGTTTCGAGTCTCTGTAACAAGTCAAGGATTTACCGGTTGAATCTAAAGCCATATTGATCGCGATGATTGTTAGAAGCCGTTGTCATGGTTAGAAGAAGTTTGCAGAAGCCGGATTTCACGAGTCCACTTTACGGAGAGATCATGGCGTGATTTAAAGTTAATATCCGAAACTAGTTGTTTGTAGTGTGTTCTTGGTAGTTTAATGCTGTATGTTCTTTGGATAGATTACATAATCCCCACACGTAAAGCTGAAGCTGCATGTACACACACACACACACACACACACACACACACATATATCTGGTGATCAGTGTGTGCTCCTGTTGGCAGGTCAAAGAAGGTGATCAAGTTGGTTCCTGAGTATCTGCTGAAGAAGAGGAAAGCATACCAGGCCATCAAAGCCACTCAGGCTAAGATAGCACTGCTCGAGAAGAGAAAGGTAAGAGTCAGCAGGCTGTAAGAAAGTGTTAACAGTCACGTGATGCAGGCTCAACTGTGCATACTACTTGTTTTAATGTACTGCTGGATATTTCCATGTTTCCCATGTCTACACCATTCCAGATATCAAAAGGAAAACCATTAAAGTTTAAACGATTAGAAGATTTCTTGAAAGACAGCCACAGGAAGCATCGTGATGAAACTCGCATCCAGAGGAGTCAGCAGCGCCCCCCCGGGCCCCTGCCCCCCGCCAAGAACAGGCTGGCCTTCGCTGTGCGCATCAGAGAGTGAGTACTGTCAGAGGATTGTCCTGCCTCCTGTGGCTCTAACCTTCAGGACTTCCCTTTTAAGATTGAGTGTCGATTAAATTCAGCTTGTTTTACATTTGACTTGAAGGTAGGGTAGGTAAGAATGGAGAAACCAGCTCGAGTAAGCTAGAATTTGAAAGTACACAGCCGAAAAAAATCTGCCCCTTCCTTCAGACTTCCTTACAGAGCCCCTCCTCCAACACACACAAATGCGCACATGACCAATGAGGGCACGAGATAAGTTTGTGGACAGATGGAAGGCTGACAGGCAGGTAGGCCATCCAATTATCTGACCCGAGCCGGCTCAGGTGATTGGTCGTGCTTTTTACAGCGCCACGGTTTCCACAGATGAAATATTTGTATATATTTATTGTCAAAGCATTTAATGTATTCATTGCTATCGGGATGTTAAGAGCATTCCATGGAATATAACAAGCGTTTCTGAAGTGAATTACCTACCCTACCTTTAACCTGTTACGCACCGCCCCCCCGGTACCGGGCGGATAAATGCGTCATTTGCAGGAAACAACGTCTAAGGAATCTTAATATTTAATAAACTATGAATGTTTTATATCCATGTAATGGGAAGAAACTCAGCTAACTGATCTTTTAATTTTTTTTTTCAAAAAAACCCCACAATGCTAACACTCAGCCTCTGAATTAGCCACGAGCAAAGAAATGTAACCTATCACTGCACCTAAACTCACTCATAACTCCCTTATTACTTATCCTAGATGCATAGCCAACCCCTCGATTAGCATCTCCTGGAGACACAGAATCTGGGGGTGCCCACCTCAACACTCAGTGATAAACATTTGCGACGCTATAAACGAAAACGTACATCAAAACATGTGGTGCTAGGTAGCTAGAAACGCTAACATGGCTTACCTTGGTCAAAACTGGTCTTCAATGGCATTAAAACGATAAAAAAACGATGCTGCAGTTAATCCATAGGTTAATCCAATGTGTCTGTGTCCTCTTTGAAATTATTTCTGATAATCCATAAGCAATAAAACTGCTTTTTCGTTTCCAAATGTCAGAGCGAGAGATCGCTTCACTCTGGTGCAAACCTGCATGCGGGAAGCCCCCACCTCTTCTCTTCACAACGTGTGTGTATGTGGGCCTCCCCCTTCGATTCTATTGGCTCTAACGGTCAGAAAGAGGTGTCAACCATCCAAATCGACCAAGGGGGGCCAGAGATATGGGGAAAAAAACATTTTCACCCAAATCACCT